TTGAAGCCCTTGCCAACCCCCAATAGACCATGGGAAGTCATCTCGATGGATTTCATCACAGATCTACCACTCAGCAAGGGGAAATCTGTTATTTGGGTGGTGGTAGATTTGTTCTCCAAGCAAGCTCACTTTATCCCTTTGCCATCCTTACCTACAGCCCAACGGCTGGCTAAGGCTTTCCTCCAACATGTCGTGCGGCTCCATCTCTTGCCTGCTAAGATAATTACGGACAGGGGCACGCAATTTGTTTCTAAAATCTGGAAGGAACTGTTGGCTATCATGGGGGTGGAGCAAGGGCTCAGTAGTGCTTACCACCCAGAGACTGACGGCCAGACGGAACGAGTTAATCAAACTTTGGAACAGTATTTGAGATGCTTTACAAACTATCAACAAAATGACTGGTGTGACCTACTGCCACTGGCAGAATACTGTTATAATAACACTATGCATAGTTCGATTGGTATGTCACCTTTCAAAGCTGTATATGGTTATGACTGCCCTCCTTTCCCTTTCCTAGGGGGGGATAAACCTCTGCAGTCTAGTGACGCTGGTTCTTGGTGTAAATCGCTACAAGCGGTTTGGCCGCTCCTATGCCAAATGTTGGATGCGGCAAAGGCCGCTTACAAACTGCAGGCTGACAGAGGTCGGGCGGTGGGTTGGGATCTGCAGCCTGGTGATTTCGTGTATGTGTCAACAAAAAATATGAAGTTACTCAGACCTTGCAATATGAACATTTTTACTTGGCATGAAATTATCACAACTAAGCCTATTAAAAATATAGTGTATCCAAACAGTTATTACAGACAGAATACCCACCTGCATGCAAGAACAAAACTGAACTCTTTTTCTTTTCTTGTGACAACAGCACCTCCTAAAGGACGAAACGCATCTTGTTCTTGCATTGGAGAGTTCAGTTTGTAACCTAGGACTTGCTTGTCCTCAGTGCACAGAAATTAGATCAATATGATACCATACCTATTTTTTAGAAATGATTTGGAAAATATTTGAACACCTTGTCTTAAAATATTTTATTCATCATGTTAAAATAAAATGTCCCATAATTATTATTTTTTCTTTTCTTTTTTCAATTTTTCCATTTTTTTTTGAAAAATACAAAAAAGGCTTCAGAGAAAAAAAATGGGGGGAAACGTGTTTTTTCTGAATTTTTTCTTTTTTTTCCAGGCCTTCTGGGCGCAGACTCTAATCTGGGAGAACCGGGTTTGATTCCCCACTCCTCCACTTGCACCTGGCTGGATGACCTTGGGCAAGCCATAGTTCTGATAAGAGCTGTCCTTGAAAAAGAGCAGTTTCTGTCAGAGCTCTCTCAGCCTCACCTACCTCACCGGGTGTCTGTTGTGGGGAGGGGAAGGGAAAGGAGTTTGTAAGCTGCTCTGAGACTCCTTTGGGTAGTGAAGGGCGGGGCATAAATCCAATCTCCTATTCTTCTTCTTCTATCTAAGAGTAAGAGTGAGAATTAACTTCCCACACAGCGGCCCACCCCAGGATTTCTGCATGAGTCACTAAGCTGGATTGCAAGTCCAGAACAGTGACTGATTCAGAGACGCAGAGGTCAGCTTCCTCTGTAGGTGGTTTTGGTGTACCCCTGCACAGCACGGTTATACCAAATAGAAATTTGTTGGCTGTGACTGGGCAGCGACTTTTCATGGTGCAGGGATGTCGTGGCATGGCCCACCCCAAGCTGAGGAAGAGCAAATCTTGCAGAGATACAACGGGTAGCCTCCCTGATGTATGGGTAGTTCAGTCTGAAGTCTTTGAAGGGCTGTGTCACTTAGAGGAGGGCAGGGGGCTGTTCCTGTTGGCAGCAGAGGAGGGGACTCGCAGGGATGGGTTTAAATTAAGGGCAGGAAGGTACCATCTGGATCTTAGGGAAAACGTTTTGACAGTCGGAGTTGTGCCACAGTGGAATCAGCCTCCTGGGGAGGTGGTGAGCTCCCCCTCTCTGGCTGTCTTTAAGCAGCGGCTGGACGATGCTAGTCTAGGCTGATCCTGCATCAAGCAGGGGGTTGGACTTAGACTCTTTGATTTTCCTCACGGCACACATTTCGGGAATTACAGAGTTCGTTAATGTAGAGCAATGCTCTAGACTTGATGCTTTTTTGGGTGAAAAACTCATGTTTTATGATAAGAAGAATTGTATTTAGTTTTTGGTTAAATCACTCGTTGCCAGCCTTTTTCGGTGAGGGATCTCCTCTGTCAACATGGGACCAACGCTCCCTCTAAGCCAGTGATGGGGAACCTTTTAGAGACCGAGTGCCCAAACTGCGACCCAAAACCCACTTATTTATCGCAAAGTTCCAACATGGCAATTTAACCTGAATACTGAGGTTTTACTTTAGAAAAAACAACTCATACATTAACTTAAGATGATCCAAACAAAGTAAGGAAAGCAATCCCAAATGCTTTCATTTACTTAAAATTATTTGGCAGAGAATTCCACACTTTAATGATGGTCTGGGCGTGGCTGGGGCGATGGCACACATGCCCACAGAGAGGGCTCTGAGTGCCACCTCTGGCAATCGTGCCATAGGTTCGCCACCACTGCTCTAAGCTGAGCTAGTGTGAGCTAGCTCACAGTTTTTTTAGCATCCGGCTCACACATTTTTGTCTTATAGCTCAGGAAGGATGGGGCTCCAGAACAGACTAATTTATGCAGCAGCCACATTGCACGCTCACAACTTTAATGCCTGTAGCTCACAAAGTAGAATTTTTGCTCACAGGACTCCACAGCTTAGAGGGAGCCTTGATGGGACCTCTTTTATTTGAGAGCCACTGTAGTGCAATAGTTAGAGTGCCAGATGGGGATCTGGGAGACCCACGTTCGAATCTCCGCTCTGCCATGGAAGGTCGCTGGGTTACCTAGGACCAGGTAACTAGCTCTCAGCCCAACCTACCTCGCAGGGTTGTTGTGAGGCTAAAATGAAGGAAAAGAGAACTACGTGAGGTGCTTTGGATCCCCGTTGGGGAGGAAGGCACGGTCTAAGTGAAGAAAATAATTATCATATATCCTCCTTTGTCTCTCTCTTCTCTTAAGAGAGCCAGTTTGGTGTAAGTGCGTGGACTCTAATCTGGGAGCACCGGGTTTGATTCCCACTCCTCCACGTGCAGCCGCTGGTGTGACCTTGGCCAAGCCATAGTTCTGGCACAGCTGTTCTTGAAAAACAGCCATTTCTGTCAGAGCTCTCTCAGCCCCACCGACCTCACAGGGTGTCCGTTGTGGGGAGAGGAAGGGAAAGGAGTTTGTAAGCCGCTCTGAGACTCCGAGTGAAGGGCGGGGTATAAATTCAATCTCCTCTCCTTCTTAAAAATGGTCCAGACAGATGATGTAGTTGCAGCCCGCTGTTTGAAGACCACTGGATTAAATGTTGGAATGTATGCAGATTTCCCCGTAAACGCAGGGTAGCTAGTTCTGTTGCGACCGCCCAAAATACCTCTTTCAGGGGAATAGCCTGGGAACCAATGGGATCTATTGATTGAGTTGATCAATCACTGCCTTATAGAACAGAGTTGGCGTCCGGTGGGGCACCTTTAAGACCAACAAAGTTTTATTCAATGTATGAGCTTTTGTGTGCAGGCACACTTCCTCAGATACATTGAAGTGGAAGTTAATAGTCCATACATATAGGCAGAGGGTGAATGGCAAATTAACATACAACATAATGAAGACAGTCTTAGGGATATGGCCTGTTCTAGCCATTGTTCTCCAAAGGCAGGGGAAGAGCTCTTTCCCCAGCACTGTTATCCAGGAACCTCTCTTTTAACTGAAGTTTCCAGGAATCAAATCCGAGACCTTACTTGTGTGAAGACTTAACATCTTCCACTTTGCTATGGGGTCTCCCCAAGCATGAATTGGGGGGGGATTAATACCAGCCCTCAGTCCTCCTGGGGGAAGTTGAGCCATGAAAGGTGCGTTCTTCCCTGTATCCTCTAGTTCTGCGAAAGAAGAGAACTATGGCACTTTTACCAGTTTATGTGAATCCACTATTTGTATATAGTTCTTCATGGCACATTGTGCACATCCACTGTTTCCTTATGGCGTAATCTGGGTCCTTGCTCATGTTGTGGGAAATCTGGCCCTCTCTCTCACACACCCTCCACCAGGAGTCCTTTAGTAGAAAAAGAGGCGCAGGAACTCATTAGCATAACTCATTAGCATAATTTATTTGCATGTGCCACACCCCCTGACATCACCGGAAGTGTGTCAGAAGGCAACACCCACTGCTCAGGCTCCACTGGACTGTTTTGGATTGCTAGCTATTGGGGGGGGGGGGAACGTGCAGATCTCTCTTCGCAGAGGAGGGAGAGCTTGTACCTGAATAAAACTTGGTCTTAGAGGTGCCACTGGATTGTTTTGGATTGCTAGCTATGGGGGGGGGACGCGCAGATCCGTCCTCACAGAGGTGGAAGAGCTTGTACCTGAATAAAACTTGGTCTTAAAGGTGCCACTGGACTGTTTTGGATTGCTAGTTATGGGGGGGGGGGG